TGGCCCCCCCCCCCCGCCCCTCCCAAAGCCTCCATCTCCTGCCTGCACTCCTCTGGCACCTCGCTCCCTGCCCTGAGCTGGGCTGGACACACTAGCGCTCCCTGACGGAGGCCGGAGCCAAGAGCAAGTGGCCACGGCAATGCTGCCTCCACGTACCCAGAACGCACCTCACCCCGCAGCCGTGGCCGAAGGCACAGACGCTCCCGGCACCGGCCAGCGACCCGCTGCGTCCTCCTTCCTTCTGACTTGCAAAACATCCCTCATTCTAAATCGCACATTTTGTTTTCATCTAAATCATTTCAAATGCTATTGAGCGAAGAGTACGTTCTGTTGGACTCCTTGTGAGAGTTTCGGTAAGTGAGTGCCTTAAATTCAGCCACTCAAGCATCAGACGCCAACACGCCCGCTCCCCCGAGAAGCGCGTGCACCCTGCAGGCCAGCACCTCCGTGGGGCCTGCCCACGCCCAGCGTGTATTTGAAGAGGGAAGACGGCACCCTCACTGCTGTCTTCAAAGCAAGACAAACTTATTTCTCCTTTTGACAGGTTTTCTTCCCCTTTGTTAAATGAGTAATAGAGGTAGAGAAGCGAGATGAGAAAGGCATGGAGCGGAGGAGCCTGGAGCACAGAGACGTCAGAGGTGACCCTGCCTACGGGGCCACCCTGCCAGCGGCGTGGAGGAGCGGAGGCCACGCCTGGAGCACAGAGACGTCAGAGGTGACCCTGCCTACTGGGCCACCCTGCCAGCGGCATGGAGGAGCGGAGGCCACGCCTGGAGCACAGAGACGTCAGAGGTGACCCTGCCTACGGGGCCACCCTGCCAGCGGCGTGGAGGAGCGGAGGCCACGCCTGGAGCTCACCTGATCAAGCCAGTGCGGGGCCTGTGTGTCAGGTGCCACCGGTAGGCTGTGTAGTCTTTCCAGCCGACGTTTCTGGGGTCATGCCACAGGGTGCGCACCTGGGGAGACGGCATGCTGAAGTGTGTTGGCGCCTGGTCTCAGCCAGTTTCTCCCACCCCGTGGACCACGGAGCGTGGCTCTCGCTCTGACACATCGGACAGTGTGACCCCAGAGGTGCGAACACGGTCCTCGGGGGCAGCATGGCTCAGCGCTAAGATCACAGCGTCCTGGATTCAGATGCTGAGTCTTCCCCTTGCTCGACAGGGGACCTTGTGCAAAATACTTAAGCCGTTTGGAAGCTGCTCTAGCTTTAGAAGAGGGTGGAGACGTGAAATTCCAGGGAGTTACCACCTGTCTATGAGGCTCCAGGCCTGGCATCCCTCATGAAGTGAGAACTCCGTGTCAGGCCGTCAGAGTGACAGTGACGAGGGAACTGCCTGAGTGGAGCGGCAGGGTCTTGGGAAGGGACGAGGCCCGCCCTCCGACCTGCGCCCCAGCCCCGGCGGCCTCACCTGCCCGGCCGTGTTCCCTGTGTGCCACAGCGCGTTCCTCAGGTGCTCGCCCGTGCCCGTCGTGGAGTTGACCACCTTGAGCGACACGCCCGAGTAGCCGTAGGCGCGGGTGGGCTGGGCCTCCCAGTCGGGCTGACCGCCGGAAGGTCTGCGTCACCGCCTGCCACATCACCCCGTAGAAACGGCTGCTGGACTGGTAGCCGAAGACGAAGCCGGCATAGTCATCGTCCCGGTCCGTGTTGACGTAGAACGTGCCGCTGAAGTCCACGGACCCGAACTCATCGAAACCTGGGTGCACAGGGAGACGCCCGTCACCAGGCCTGGCCGGAGGCGCCCTGGGAGTCCCGGCACGGCCGCGTCAAGCAGGGACCGGCTCTCCTGGCCCCGCTCTGCACTGCGAGGGAGTCAGGGCCTGGTCCCCGTGTGCCGTGACACCACAGGGACCACGTCCACATGGTGAGCCAGCTTTCCGGCCATGACGCCCCGGACAGAGGAGTGGCAGGACCCCGAGCTCCTCCGGCCTGAGAGCTTCACCCCGTACGAGGAGGAGGCCACGCAAATTCCCAGCCACGTGCCCTGGAAGAGCAGGCTGCCTCCGTGCACATGCCCACCCGAACGCCGAGGCGTTCTCACAGCCCACAGGCTCACCCACTGCGATGCCAGGGTCTGAGTTCGCGGTCTGAACCAGCTCTTTGCCTTGGTGGCGGATGACCCAGTTGGGGTCGATCTGTGTGGTCCCCTTGGGGTCCAGGGGCACCATCTGGAAGTTCCTGAAGTCGGTCTCACTGATGGCATTGTTTTCAGGACACACATCATCGATGTCGGGGACGCTGTCATTGTCGAAATCGTCTTTGCAAATATCGCCCCGCCCATCGCCTGTTGGGGAACAGACAAGAATGCAGGGATAGCGAGGTCCCCCCGGCCACGCCAGAGACGTGCGAGCCACGGTTCCTGGAGGTCTGAGGCTGTGCGCTCTGGGGGCCAGTGGACCACTGCTCTGTGACCTCCGGACATGGACATGCTATGAGGAGTCCTGACACCCCTCAGAACACGCTTAGGCACACGGCGCAGGGTTGTGCTGACATTCCCAGAGACCACTTTCAGACTGGGCTGGAGACCCAGTGCTGAGAAGGGCCAGGCTGAACTCCCAGCTGGATGTCGCAGGGCCTCGCCTCTGACTCCTTCCCTAGTCACCTTCCCTCCCGAGCGGGCTTGGCGCTTACCCAGGACTCCCCAACCCTCTCCCCGTTCTAGTCCTCAGTGAGCAGGTGGGGCTGGAGCTGATTGCCACTGTGGTGTAGACGGGGGTGGGGGGGCCCAGCCGCCCACGCTGTTCAGTGAGCAGGTGGGGCTGGGGCTGATTTCCCCTGTGGGGTAGACGGGGGGTGGGGGGGCCCAGCCGCCCACGCTGTGGCTCGATGCTGAGCCCTCAGGCGGGTTTTGACTCGCTCACCGCCCACGTTACTGCCTGTGGCTTTCAACAAGAACAGGACAGGGGCCCTGGTGGACCCAGCACAGCCTGCGCCAGCTCTAGTCCCGTCAGTGACAGCCATGTGCTCCACGGACCCGAGTCCACGAGCGGGGACACACGGGACACGTGGGAGGACCGCGGCAAGGGCACACTGGACGCCCACCGGGCCAGCCGCAGGGGGGCCCGCCCACGTCTTAGGCCCCCCAGGGGG